GAGGGAACGTTCTTCCTGTTGATGTTCGTTGCAGGTACCAGCTTCCATGTATTTCGGTCTTGCAGAGCTTTTAGTTCCTTTTCCATTGCTTCCTTCCATTTCGCCTTGTGTTCCCCCCCCCAGAGCCTGCGACAGGGTCGTTGGCTCGTGCGGAGACGGCGGCGGCGGATGCTGGACGGAGACCCATAAGCCGAGTATCTGCAGTCCCGTGGGTGTGTGTCGAGGGGAATTTTCATTCCCCGAATAGGCTGCTTCGTCACCATCTTCTGGATCAGGTAAGAAGTTTGGGCCGATGCGTTCTGAGACATTTGTGTCGACCGGGTGAGGTGTAACGTAACCTTGGTCAGCGAAGTGGTAAAGGGTGTCGAGGTTGTTGCTATCGAGAGGATTGTCTTCGTCGAGTGGAACAGGCACGGAACAGTAAGGGAGTGGTCCGGCAGCTTCCGAAGCTCCAGGTACGTCTTCTTCTGCTGCATCAGCCTCGGCAGCACGGTCGGCGAAGGAGCGAAGGCCTGCGACACCGTCGGTGGGGTCGTCTATGTTGGCGACGTTGTCCAGGTAATGCTGCAGCGTCAGACGTTCGTAGAAGATCACATCACGTGATGCCACGGTATTTTTGTCTTGTATGTCGAGGATTTTCCATGCTTTTCCATGTTTTGCGATGCCGAGGTGTAATCCCCACTGTGCTCGTTGAGTGAATCGTCCTGCTCGTGCTGTGTGGGGTCTGTATTGTACCATGCAGCCGAAAACCCGGAGTAATTTTGTGCTGCCCCTTTTTCGTGTCCACAGCAGGTGCGGTGATGCGTTGTTGGGAAGCGAGGACGAGGATAACAAATTATGCAGGTGGACTGCATGGGTCATCGCGTCTGGCCACAGTGTGTTGGGCAGTCTCATCCCCAGGAGCAGCTTCCGCATCGTCGTCTGCAAGGTCCGGTTCATTCTTTCTGCGACCCCCTGCTGCTGGTGAGCGTAGGGCAGAGACACCAGGCGTCTGATTCCTCTTTCCGCCAAGTAGTTCCTGAATCGTTGTGACTGGTATTCCAGTGCGCCATCTGACTGGAAGCTCTTGAGCTTGGTTCCTGATTCTCGTTCAGCGATGGGGAGCCACGTCGTGAAGGCTTCGAAAGCTTGATCGCACGTCTTGAGGTTGTAGTGCCAGACATATCTTGTTGCTGCATCGATGAACGTGATGACGTAGTTGGAGTCGGCTTCAGTGTCGTCTCGAGGCATGTTTAAGATGTCGCTGTAAACTTTTTCCATCGGTGTGTATGCAGGTGCGCTTGGGTTGTGATGTGATAGAAAAGGTTGGTGAGGAAGATCGGCTTCGGGACACGTGAAGCACCGTGCGCGTGGTCGTCGAAGTTCTTGGCCGCTCGTTGTAAGAAGAGCGTTTCTCTATAACACTTCGGCTTGGATGGTTTGTAGTACCGTGCTGTTTGCAGGATGCCCAAGGCGTTGGTGCCAGATGTCGTCGGGGGCGCGATGGCCGGGCGAGCGTTGGTACATGTCGGCGTTGGAGAAGAACGCAACGACCGTGGCGGGACTTCGGCAGACTTCGCGTGTGATGGGCATAAGTTGATCTGCTTCGGTTGGCGGTCCTCGGATCGCTGGTGATGGTACTCGGCTGGGTCCTGCTGCTGCTACTGCAGGTGATGTCTGGGAAGAGACGCTTGCTGGTACTTGTCTTTCTTGTCTGATGACTGCTAACACTCGTGTTCTTTCTGCGGCAGGTATGGTGTTGGAGTACCAGTATCCATCTGGGGTGAAGTCGGGGTCAAGATTCGGCGGGTGCGTCCAGGCTGCGAATGACACGATGCCATCGCTGTCGGCAGTACCGCGGTCGGGGACGAAATCCAACACGAAGACGCCGGACTTCAGGAGAGCGCGACCGATGAAGAGACCGCCCTTCCCGTGGTAAAGACGAAATTCGTTGGAGTCCGAGTCGCATTCCAGGTGAATACCTTTTGCCATTAACTGGCTGACGCTGAGTAAGTTGTATCCTAAGTCTTCGACTATGAGAACTTTGTTGAGTTGGAGCATGACGTTCGTCTCCATTGACTGAAGCTGAACGACGCCTTGTCTGCTTGTTTTCAGGTTCTCGTTGTTGGCGACAGTGATGATGACATCACGGTTGAGGCGTCGCTCTTGCTGCACGAAGCGCCCGGAAGAACACATGTGTTGACCGCAGCAGCTATCCAAGAACCATGTGTTTCGTCCGGTGGGTGCGGCGTTGGCGACTGCAGCGTATGTCGGGTTAACCTGAAGTCCTTGTGAGCGTGGCGGCGGCAGTTCTTTTTCGTCTGGAGCGTAAGTGGGTGGTGATCCGGGTGCGCAGCTGTCGATGTGTACCATGCAATTGATGATGTTTGGTGTGCCTTGTGCAGATGAGGAGGAACATCTCGGTGGGCTTTCTTGAGTGGAGGCGACTTGTGGGTCTACTGGACGATAAGCTCGGGGACGTGTGCAGTTGACTTTGGAGTGTCCGGATGTTTGGCAGTTGTGGCAGAACGGCGGCACAATGGTGAGTCCTCTATTGTCGCGTTGCTCTTGCTTGCCGCGTCGATTGTAGTTGTTGTCGTTTCTTCGTTGAGTGTAGAAGACTAACGGTTGCTGCTTCCTTGGTTGTCTTTCTTCAAACAGGTCCATCTCCTGTTGTTCAGCATGGAGCTCGGCGCAGAGGTGCATCTCCGAGATTCGTCCGTGGGCGCGAAGGAGCGAGCGGGTGGTTCTCCATTCTGGCCCGAGCCCAGCGAGGACAAGCGTCACGAAGCTTTCTTCAGTGATTGTTCCTCCGCACCAAAGCAGGCGGTCGCGGAGTGTCTGGCATCGACTCATATATTGCATCGCCTTTTCTCCGGTCTTCATCTGTATTGTTGTCAGTTGCTGCACGAGTCTGCTTTGTGTCACGCTGTCGTTTGCTTGGTAGAGACACTTGAGGTGATGCCATGCGAGTTTCGCGGAGTTTCCATAGCTCCGATACGTTCTGATGCTTTGCTGCTCTTGTGGTGACAGGTTCCGCAGGAGGACTGTATACGCCAGCAGCGACTGATACGTAAAAATTTCTTGCTCTTTCGCAGTGCCATTGCTTGGAAATGGCAGGGACCCGTTGAAGTATCCCAAGAGATGCGCAGCCTCCATCAGCAGCTCGAACTCAAAGCTCCAGGTAAAGAAGTCGTGTCCGTTGAACGGTGAGGATGTCTGCAGTTTGATCACATGTGAAAACTGTGCCTGGAGACTAAGTATCTCGTTTGGTGTTTGTTGTGATGCAGCTGCTGTTGGTTGGGCACGGGGCGGCATGAACTCGAACGTCCCCGGTGAAGAGTGATAAGGCGCAAAGGTAGGCGCTTGATTGTGTCGCCCGAACGATGAGTTGTCGAGGCTCATCGGCGCTAATCCCATGTTTCCTCCGTTGCTCTGTATTGAATGTGCATGTGTCCTTGTCTGCTGCTGCTGGTCGAAGTGCGACATGAAGCTGAAGAACCTTTCCATAAGGTTCAGATCCACGCTTGAAGAGGGTGATGGGGTCACCATTTCTGGTGCTCTTCCTGTTGTTTCTTGAGCAGCGCCGGTCTCGGTTTGCAATCCTGAAGTGTGCAGTCCAGAGTTGCCGGGTTGAGTGTCTTGGGCACTGGGTGAGCCCGTAGAGTTTTTCTTGCCCTTGCTGTCCATGACTTTGTAATCAATGAAGTCGTTGGGGTGTTGATTGTAGATAGAGCGTAGTTGCTGGGGGTTTGGTCTCTGACCAGCTCTCATACCATGTTGGGCTGAGAAATGCCCTTGGGATCTTTTCAGAGACTAAGTCCCAGTTGTAAAAGGTGACTTTGAGTAGTGCAGCGGAAGTTGAGTAGTTGAACCCTTGTACTAGTATGTGAGAACAAGTGATTGATTCAAAGGAACAAGCATACAGCAATATATAGAAAGTAGGAAAGTAAAGTAGTTGTAGAATACAGTTGAAGAGCGGTTATCGAGTCGCACAGCGACTCGATTGTCGCTTCGGTTACCATCCTTGCAGTTGTAATGGTCAGTCGCAACCTCCAGTTGCGACCCTTCGAGTCCTTTCGTGTTCTTTGTCCATCTCCTCCTGTAACCTCTGTTGACTCGCGTACCCGTTACGATCTTCCTCGAGTGTGGTGTTACACTTCAGAAACGCTTAAGTCCTTGAGGTATTTCCAACAGGGAGGAACGGTGGAGAGGGGTTGGAGGGGGTTATGGGTGGTGAGGATGGTCGTGATGAGGGAGAGGGAGTTGAGGAAGGAGAGGAATATGAGGAGTGGGACGAGGAGGAGGGATCGGAGGAATGGGACGAGGAGGGATCTGAGGTTTTGGACGAGGAGGGATCTGAGGATTGGGATGAGGAGGATGAGGGAGAGGAAGATGAGTATGAGGAGGAAGAGGAAGACAGTGATGGGGAGGAAGGGGAGGAAACTCTTGGAGATGAAGGAGAGGGAGGGAGGGAAGATAGGGAGGGGTTGCTGGGGAGTGAAAGGGATGAGCTGGGGGTGTGGAAGTTTATGAGGTTCTTAGGAAGGGGAAGATTGTCTCTGGAATGAAGGATCTGCAGTTATGCATACCTTAACCACAAAATGGGACAGGGCTTGTGAGCATATGACCTTTGGCTAAACCTGCTTAGTTTGTGCATAATTTTCCTAGAGGGCTGTCGTTACTATGGCACACATAGATAGTGTACCCGCAAGCTCGTCTTAGTAACTCGACAGACATTCCCTTCATTTCTTCAAGACCTTTTGTTATATTTATCATAGCGCACAAGATTATCGCCATGTTTCTACACCCATACATTACACATTCCAGTACCAGACCTGACCTACACGAGGCTGCCCTGCTATATTCTCTTCCGCGTCATCTCACCACCCACCACCACACCAAACCACACCAAAACACACGACACCACGGAATGGTCTGGTCCGTGCGCGCCAACCAAGCAAAAAGGTGCCCCTTTCTTTCTCCTCTCCCAGCGTCGGAAATCTGATTCTGCATTGCCTCCATTGTCCGGTTGCCCGTGACAGCACCCTAAAAATCCGTGGAAAACCGTATAGCTCCCACAGGTCGCATCTCCGTCCTTGCGCCACGCTGCATCCGCTGCACCATCATCACCATTCCCCTCTTACTTTCTCGCTCTCTCGCTCTTTCTCGCTCGCTCTCGCTCTCTCTCCATCCACCCCTCCGAGCTCGTTTCCACTCTTCGATCCACTCGCGCCTTCCGTCTTACTTCTCGGCTTGTGCCGGGGATGTGATTGTAGATCTACAGACAGCAACGCTGCTCACCGTCCGATGGCCGGTGCTTCTGGATCTGACGGTTCTGAGCAGCCCCTGTCGGCCGCCGCATCTGGCGCCGTGAACGCGGGAGACGATTCGAAGCCGCAACCCGCGAAGGCCGGCAGCGCGAAGCAGCTGACTCCGCAGGAGCGCGCGCGTCTCGCGGCGGCGCGGCGGCGTGCGCGGGAGGGCAATGCGGGGCCGGGAACCGCGGGGAAAGGCAAGCAGAAAGGTGAGGTTACCGGGGGTCTGCCAGTGTGCATTTTTTTCGGCCAATCCGCGTCTCCTATTTCCCCCCCTTTCTTACGTCTCACTCCCATCTTTAATTTCTCTCACCCCTTTCACATTTCTTATGTTACACCACCTTCCCTCCACCAGGCGCGACGCCCCTCTACTATTCCATAGTGGCTCTTATAATCTCCATATGGGCCGTCTTTATCTTTCGCGCCATTCAAGCCCCGCCGCCGATCCCGCTGACGGACGCTGACGTCACCAGCCCGCGGATCCGGCTCTCGGACGGCCGACACATGGCGTACCACGAGATGGGCGCGGCCGCTGACGTGGCGAAGTACCAGGTGCTGGTGGTGCACTCGTGGCAGACGTGCCGACTCAGCATGCTGCCCAACATCACGCAGGTGCGTGACGTGTCCGCCGTCTCTGTGATGACGTGTCCGCTGTCCGTGTGATGACGTGTCCAGGCCAGGGGCTCTTCACCAAGTGTTTCAGTTCCCACCACCACCTGTTCCTGCCCCTCATTCGGCATCGCCCCATGCGCGCTCTCATCGCCCCATGCGCCCTCTCATCGCCCCATGCGCGCTCTCATCGCCCCATGCGCGCTCTCATCGCCCCATGCGCCCTCTCATCGCCCCATGCGCCCTCTCATCGCCCCATGCGCGCTCTCATCGCCCCATGCGCCCTCTCATCGCCCCATGCGCGCTCTCATCGCCCCATGCGCCCTCTCATCGCCCCATGCGCCCTCTCATCGCCCCATGCGCCCTCTCATCGCCCCATGCGCCCTCTCATCGCCCCATGCGCCCTCTCATCGCCCCATGCGCCCTCTCATCGCCCCATGCGCCCTCTCATCGCCCCATGCGCCCTCTCATCGCCCCATGCGCCCTCTCATCGCCCCATGCGCCCTCTCATCGCCCCATGCGCCCTCTCATCGCCCCATGCGCCCTCTCATCGCCCCATGCGCCCTCTCATCGCCCCATGCGCCCTCTCATCGCCCCATGCGCCCTCTCATCGCCCCATGCGCCCTCTCATCGCCCCATGCGCCCTCTCATCGCCCCATGCGCCCTCTCATCGCCCCATGCGCCCTCTCATCGCCCCATGCGCCCTCTCATCGCCCCATGCGCCCTCTCATCGCCCCATGCGCCCTCTCATCGCCCCGTGCGCCCTCTCATCGCCCCATGCGCCCTCTCATCGCCCCATGCGCCCTCTCATCGCCCCATGCGCCCTCTCATCGCCCCGTGCGTCCTCTCATCGCCCCATGCGCCCTCTCATCGCCCCATGCGCCCTCTCATCGCCCCATGCGCCCTCTCATCGCCCCATGCGCCCTCTCATCGCCCCATGCGCCCTCTCATCGCCCCATGCGCCCTCTCATCGCCCCATGCGCCCTCTCATCGCCCCATGCGCCCTCTCATCGCCCCGTGCGCCCTCTCATCGCTCCATGCGCCCTCTCATCGCCCCATGCGCCCTCTCATATCCCCATGCGCCCTCTCATCGCCCCATGCGCCCTCTCATCGCCCCATGCGCAGTCTCATCGCCCCATGCGCCCTCTCATCGCCCCAGGAGTTCCTCCAAGCCAACGGCATCCGCCGGGTGAGCTAAGACCGGGCTGCGTGCGGCCAGAGCGACCCCAACCCACTATTTTAAGTCAACTAAAAAAAGTGCCTACTGCAGTTTCTTCATCCCATCCCTTCTCCAAGGAGTTTCTTCATCCCTCCCCTCCCTCTCCGTCCCATCCCTCCCATCTCCAGGAGTACCTCCAAGCCAAGGGAATCCGCCTCGTGAGCTACGACCGGGCAGGGTACGGCCAGAGCGACCCCGACCCGGCGCGCACGCTGCAGTCAGACGTGGCGGACGCGGGCGAGGTGGCGACGGCGCTGGGCCTGGGGAAGAGGTTCTACCTCGTGGCCACGTCCATGGGCACCTACGTGGCGCTGGGGGCGCTCAGATACATGCCTGAGCGGTGAGCCACACGCCTGAATCGCACAGCAAAGTTGCTTGCACAGCAAACTTGCTTGCACAGCAAAGTTGCTTGCACAGCAAAGTTGCTTGCACAGCAAAGTTGCTTGCACAGCAAAGTTGCTTGCACAGCAAAGTTGCTTGCACAGCAAGTTGCTTGCACAGCAAAGTTGCTTGCACAGCAAAGTTGCTTGCACAGCAAAGTTGCTTGCACGCTTGCACAGCAAAGTTGCTTGCACAGCAAAGTTGCTTGCACAGCAAAGTTGCTTGCACAGCAAAGTTGCTTGCACAGCAAAGTTGCTTGCACAGCAAGTTGCTTGCACAGCAAATTGCTTGCCAGCAAAGTTGCTTGCACAGCAAAGTTGCTTGCACAGCAAAGTTGCTTGCACAGCAAAGTTGCTTGCACAGCAGAGTTGCTTGCACAGCAAATTGCTTGCACAGCAAAGTTGCTTGCACAGCAAAGTTGCTTGCACAGCAAAGTTGCTTGCACAGCAAGTTGCTTGCACAGCAAAGTTGCTTGCACAGCAAAGTTGCTGCACAGCAAAGTTGCTTGCACAGCAAAGTTGCTTGCCAGCAAAGTTGCTTGCACAGCAAAGTTGCTTGCACAGCAAAGTTGCTTGCACAGCAAAGTTGCTTGCACAGCAAAGTTGCTTGCACAGCAAAGTTGCTTGCACAGCAAAGTTGCTTGCACAGCAAAGTTGCTTGCACAGCAGAGTTGCTTGCACAGCAAATTTGCTTGCGCAGCAAAGTTGCTTGCACAGCAAAGTTGCTTGCACAGCAAAGTTGCTTGCACAGCAAAGTTGCTTGCACAGCAAAGTTGCTTGCACAGCAAAGTTGCTTGCACAGCAAAGTTGCTTGCACAGCAAAGTTGCTTGCACAGCAAAGTTGCTTGCACAGCAAACTTGCTTGCACAGCAAAGTTGCTTGCACAGCAAAGTTGCTTGCACAGCAGAGTTGCTTGCACAGCAAAGTTGCTTGCACAGCAAAGTTGCTTGCACAGCAAAGTTGCTTGCACAGCAAAGTTGCTTGCACAGCAAAGTTGCTTGCACAGCAAAGTTGCTTGCACAGCAAAGTTGCTTGCACAGCAATTGCTTGCACAGCAAATTGCTTGCACAGCAAAGTTGCTTGCACAGCAAAGTTGCTTGCACAGCAAAGTTGCTTGCACAGCAAAGTTGCTTGCACAGCAAAGTTGCTTGCACAGCAAAGTTGCTTGCACAGCAAAGTTGCTTGCACAGCAAAGTTGCTTGCACAGCAAAGTTGCTTGCACAGCAAAGTTGCTTGCACAGCAAAGTTGCTTGCACAGCAAGTTGCTTGCACAGCAAAGTTGCTTGCACAGCAAAGTTGCTTGCACAGCAAAGTTGCTTGCACAGCAAAGTTGCTTGCACAGCAAAGTTGCTTGCACAGCAAAGTTGCTTGCACAGCAAAGTTGCTTGCACAGCAAAGTTGCTTGCACAGCAAAGTTGCTTGCACAGCAAAGTTGCTTGCACAGCAAAGTTGCTTGCACAGCAAAGTTGCTTGCACAGCAAAGTTGCTTGCACAGCAAAGTTGCTTGCACAGCAAAGTTGCTTGCACAGCAAAGTTGCTTGCACAGCAAAGTTGCTTGCACAGCAAAGTTGCTTGCACAGCAAAGTTGCTTGCACAGCAAAGTTGCTTGCACAGCAAAGTTGCTTGCACAGCAAAGTTGCTTGCACAGCAAAGTTGCTTGCACAGCAAAGTTGCTTGCACAGCAAAGTTGCTTGCACAGCAAAGTTGCTTGCACAGCAAAGTTGCTTGCACAGCAAAGTTGCTTGCACAGCAAAGTTGCTTGCACAGCAAAGTTGCTTGCACAGCAAAGTTGCTTGCACAGCAAAGTTGCTTGCACAGCAAAGTTGCTTGCACAGCAAAGTTGCTTGCACAGCAAAGTTGCTTGCACAGCAAAGTTGCTTGCACAGCAAAGTTGCTTGCACAGCAAAGTTGCTTGCACAGCAAAGTTGCTTGCACAGCAAAGTTGCTTGCACAGCAGAGTTGCTTGCACAGCAAAGTTGCTTGCACAGCAAAGTTGCTTGCACAGCAAAGTTGCTTGCACAGCAAAGTTGCTTGCACAGCAAAGTTGCTTGCACAGCAAAGTTGCTTGCACAGCAAAGTTGCTTGCACAGCAGAGTTGCTTGCACAGCAAATTTGCTTGCGCAGCAAAGTTGCTTGCACAGCAAAGTTGCTTGCACAGCAAAGTTGCTTGCACAGCAAAGTTGCTTGCACAGCAAAGTTGCTTGCGCAGCAAAGTTGCTTGCGCAGCGAAGTTGCTTGCACAGCAAAGTTGCTTGCACAGCAAAGTTGCTTGCACAGCAAAGTTGCTTGCACAACAAAGTTGCTTGCACAGCAAAGTTGCTTGCACAGCAAAGTTGCTTGCACAGCAATGTTGCTTGCACAGCGAAGTTGCTTGCACAGCAAAGTTGCTTGCACAACAAAGTTGCTTGCACAGCAAAGTTGCTTGCGCAGCGAAGGTGCTTGCACAGCAAAGTTGCTTGCACAGCAAAGTTGCTTGCACAGCAAAGTTGCTTGCACAGCAAAGTTGCTTGCACAGCAAAGTTGCTTGCACAGCAAAGTTGCTTGCACAGCAAAGTTGCTTGCACAGCAAAGTTGCTTGCACAGCAAAGTTGCTTGCACAGCAAAGTTGCTTGCACAGCAAAGTTGCTTGCACAGCAATGTTGCTTGCACAGCAAAGTTGCTTGCACAGCAAAGTTGCTTGCACAGCAAAGTTGCTTGCACAGCAAAGTTGCTTGCACAGCAAAGTTGCTTGCACAGCAAAGTTGCTTGCGCAGCGATGGTGCTTTCACAGCAATGTTGCTTGCGCAGCGAAGTTGCTTGCACAGCAATGTTGCTTGCACACCAAAGTTGCTTGCACAGCAAAGTTGCTTGCACAGCAAAGTTGCTTGCACAGCAAATTTGCTTGCACAGCAAAGTTGCTTGCACAGCAAAGCTGCTTGTGCAGCGAAGGTGCTTGCACAGCAAAGTTGCTTGCACAGCAAAGTTGCTTGCACAGCCAAGTTGCTTGCGCAGCCAAGTTGCTTGCGCAGCCAAGGTGCTTGCACAGCAAAGTTGATTGCACAGCAAAGTTGCTTGCACAGCAAAGTTGCTTGCACAGCAAAGTTGCTTGCACAGCAAAGTTGCTTGCGCAGCGAAGGTGCTTGCACAGCAATGTTGCTTGCGCAGCGAAGTTGCTTGCACAGCAAAGTTGCTTGCACAGCAAAGTTGCTTGCACAGCAAAGTTGCTTGCACAGCAAAGTTGCTTGCACAGCAAAGTTGCTTGCACAGCAAAGTTGCTTGCACAGCAAAGTTGCTTGCACAGCAAAGTTGCTTGCACAGCAAAGTTGCTTGCACAGCAAAGTTGCTTGCACAGCAAAGTTGCTTGCACAGCAATGTTGCTTGCACAGCAAAGTTGCTTGCACAGCAAAGTTGCTTGCACAGCAAAGTTGCTTGCTCTGCAAAGTTGCTTGCGCAGCGAAGTTGCTTGCACAGCAAAGTTGCTTGCACAGCAAAGTTGCTTGCACAGCAAAGTTGCTTGCACAGCAAAGTTGCTTGCACAGCAAAGTTGCTTGCACAGCAAAGTTGCTTGCGCAGCGATGGTGCTTTCACAGCAATGTTGCTTGCGCAGCGAAGTTGCTTGCACAGCAAAGTTGCTTGCACACCAAAGTTGCTTGCACAGCAAAGTTGCTTGCACAGCAAAGTTGCTTGCACAGCAAAGTTGCTTGCGCAGCGAAGTTGCTTGCACAGCAAAGTTGCTTGCACAGCAAAGTTGTTTGTACAGGAAAGTTGCTTGCGCAGCGATGGTGCTTTCACAGCAATGTTGCTTGCGCAGCGAAGTTGCTTGCACAGCAAAGTTGCTTGCACAGCAAAGTGGCTTGCACAGCGAAGTTGATTGCACAGCAAAGTTGCTTGCACAGCAAAGTTGCTTGCGCAGCGAAGTTGCTTGCACAGCAAAGTTGCTTGCACAGCAAAGTTGCTTGCACAGCAAAGCTGCTTGTGCAGCGAAGGTGCTTGCACAGCAAAGTTGCTTGCACAGCAAAGTTGCTTGCACAGCCAAGTTGCTTGCGCAGCCAAGTTGCTTGCGCAGCCAAGGTGCTTGCACAGCAAAGTTGATTGCACAGCAAAGTTGCTTGCACAGCAAAGTTGCTTGCACAGCAAAGTTGCTTGCACAGCAAAGTTGCTTGCACAGCAAAGTTGCTTGCACAGCAAAGTTGCTTGCACAGCAAAGTTGCTTGCACAGCAAAGTTGCTTGCGCAGCGAAGTTGCTGGCACTGCAAAGTTGCTTGCACAGCAAAGTTGCTTGCACTGCAATGTTGCTTGCGCAGCGAAGGTGCTTGCACAGCAATGTTGCTTGCGCAGCGAAGTTGCTTGCACAGCAAAGTTGCTTGCACAGCAAAGTTGCTTGCACAGCAAAGTTGCTTGCACAGCAAAGTTGCTTGCACAGCAAAGTTGCTTGCACAGCAAAGTTGCTTGCACTGCAAAGTTGCTTGCGCAGCAAAGTTGCTTGCACAGCAAAGTTGCTTGCACAGCAAAGTTGCTTGCGCAGCGAAGTTGCTTGCGCAGCGAAGTTGCTTGCACTGCAAAGGTGCTTGCACAGCAAAGTTGCTTGCACTGCAAAGTTGCTTGCGCAGTCTGTGTTTTCAGACCCGACCCACACCCTCCCTAGTCCTAGTGAAGGCCTACTGACACGTTCCCCTTGCTTGCCTCCCCCTTATCCCTCATGCACCCCCCCAGGCTCAAGGGATTGACGATAATCAGTGTGGTCGGCAGCCCCTTTGACCCCACGTGGCCCAAGTACGAGTTCACTACCACGTGGCAGCAGATGCTGCTGCCAGATCGCATCGCGCTGCTGCTGGCCCGCCACGCGCCCGCCCTGCTGCACGCGTGGCTGGCGCAGACGATCATTCCCCTGGGGAGCTTCAGGGCCCCCTACCACCCGCACCTGTACGAGCTTCAGCTCTATGAGACAGACATGGCGGCGCTGAGACACAAGGAGGTGGCAGAGTACTTTGCCCGGGTGAGTGAGTGCAGTTGCCGGGGGTAAATGCCCTCCCTGCTGCACGTGTGGTTCCCTACCACCCGCACCCGTACGAACTCTATGAGTCGGACATGGCGGCGCTGGGGAGGGGAACAAGGAGGTTGGAGAGAGTTCGTCCCGCTTTCTGAATTTGACCCCTCTCAGCACCACGCCCTCTCTTCCTCCCCCCCTCCCATCCCCTGCTCTCTGCCCTTCCTTGTCCGCCCACAGAACATGCAGGAGGGTATGCGGCAGGGCCCAAGCGTTTCTTGGTACCGCGACCTGGAGATTCTTGCTGGGGATTGGGGCTTCCTTCTTTCTGAGATCGACCTCTCTAAGGGAGGAGAGGAGGGGGTAGCGGAGAGGGTAGAGGAGGGGGGAGAGGAGGGGGGAGATGGGCGAGAGGAGGGAGAGGGGTTGAAGGGGAGGGTGCACATATGGCATGGAGAGGAGGACATTGTGCAGGTGAGCTACACACGACATGTGGCGCGGATGTTGGAGGGGAGCGTGCTGCACGTGCTGCCCAACAGAGGCCATTTCTTCATGTACAATGACAAGGAGCGGCCTGCGATTGTGCTGGGTACGATGCTGGGGTTAGAGGAGGGGGCGAGGAGTGAGGAATGAGGGAGGGGAGGTAAGGGTGGAGGGGAGCGTGCTGAATGTGCCGCTTAACTTTTGAGGCGCCTCAAATGAGGGAGGGGAGGAAGGTGGGTGGAGGGGAGCGTGCTGCATGTGCCGCTTAACTTTTGAGGCGCCTCAAATGAGGGAGGGGAGGAAGGTGGGTAGAGGGGAGCGTGCTGCATGTGCTGCCCAACAGAGACCATTTCTTCATGTGCAATGATAAGGAGTGGCGCTAGGTGGTGTTGAGGACGATGCTGGGGTTGGAGGAGGGGGCAAGTAGCGAGGAATGAGGACTTTGAGGCGCCTCACAAGTAGCGAGGAATGAGGGAGGGGAGATAAGGGGACGTAGTGTGCTGTGTGTGCTGCATGTGCTGCATGCGGTGCCCAACAGAGGCCATTTCTTTATGTACCGTATTCCCCCGGATATAACACCCGCCGGAATTAATCACCCATGGGTGGTTTGGGCGGACCTGGGTGCTTTATTAAACTGGATATTCATGCCACCCTAGTTTTTGGCATGAAACATATACACCACCCCCCTGGTTCATTTTCACTGTATTTCTTTAGATTTTGCCTCTTATCAGAGTGTCTCTTACCGTAATCCCCCGGATATAACACCCGCCGGAATAGTCACTCCATGGGTGGTTAATACGGGGGGGAGCTTATGATATGGTGCATTTTTTAGAGTACCCGCTTTTCAGGTGACGAATTTTACATAACACCCTCCTCGTTTTATTCGTTTGAAAACTGAATTTGTTCTTCTATTACAAGGTCCGCTCAGTTGCAAAAAGCGAGCATGATGAAATTGTGCGTCAACAACCATAAGCACCGGAAAAACCGGGCAGAAATGAATTGTTGGGAATCGAATTGAGGGGAAGGAGGAATCGAATTTTGGGGGAAGGGGGAATCGAAAACGTGGGGGGAAGGGGGAAGGGTGTCAAACATAAGCATTACTCATGTTTGTATAGACTGTATAGGGTCGCCTCTTAGAGGGTACAACACTCTTAGGTATATTCCCTTGTACTCCCATTCTCACTAACAATTCTTCAGTTCTAAGATGGTATCAGCAGTAGGTAGGTCCCACCGCCCCCCCACGCTTCCGCCCTAGGATCTACCCCCGTGCGTCGCGCCCCCTAGGCCCTGTCGCGTCACCTAGGACCAGTCGCGCCCCCCCTGGGCCCGTCGCGCCCCCCTGGGCCCCGCCGCGTCACCTAGGACCAGACGCGCCCCCCCTGGGCCCCGTCGTGTCCTTTGGGCCCCGTCACGCCCCCCCTGGGCCCCGTCACGCCCCCCTGGGCCCCGTCGCGCCCCCTGAGCCCCGTCACGCTCCCCTGGGCCCCGTCACGCCCCCCCTGGGCCCCGTCGCGCCCCCTGGGCCCCGTCACGCTCCCCTGGGCCCGTCGCGCCCCCTAGCACCAGTCACGCCCCTCCTGGGCCCCCCGGTGGTGCCTCCTGGCCCTGTCGCGCGACTCCTAGCCCGTCGCGCCTTACCTAGACTGTTGCGCCTTTCCTAGCCCGTCGCGCCTTTCCTAGTCCGTCGCGCCGGCCCCGCGACTGTCCCAGCCGGCCCTACGACCGTCCCAGCCGGCCCCGCGACCGTCCCAGCCGGCCCCGCGACCGTCCCAGCCGGCCCCGCGACCGTCCCAGCCGGCCCCGCGACCGTCCCAGCCGGCCCCGCGACCGTCCCTGCCGGCCCCGCGACCGTCCCAGCCGGCCCCGCGACCGTCCCAGCCGGCCCCGCGATCGTCCTAGCCGGCCCCGCGCCCGTCCCAGCCGGCCCCGCGACCGTCCCAGCAGACCCCGCGACCGTCCCAGCCGGCCCCGCGATTGTCCCAGCCGGCCCCGCGACCGTCCCAGCCGGCCCCGTGCCCCTCCCAGCCGGCCCTGCACCTGTTCCAGCCGGCCCCGCGACCGTCCCAGTCGGCCCCTCGTGCCCGTCCAGGCCGCCCCTGCACCCGTCCCAGCCGGCCCCGCGCCTGTCCCAGCCGGCCCCGCGCCCGTTCCAGCCGGCCCCGCGCCCGTCCCTGCCGGTCCCGCGCCCGTCCGAGCCGGCTCCCGCGCTTGTCCCGGCCGGCCCCGCGTCGACTTCCGGCCCTTCCTCGCCGGCCCTACGACCGTCCGATCTGCACTCTCCCTGGTACGGTTCTCCACCACCTTTCACCGCACTGTACCGCACTGCACCGCACCGCATCGCATTGCACTACGCTGCACCGCACAGCACCGCCCTGCACTGCCCTGCATAGCACTGCCTCACCTTGCACCGCCTTGCACCGCACTGCACTGCCCTGCTCTGCACTGCACCGCACTGTACAGTCCTGCCCTGCCCCTGATGGCGGCGGAGCTTCGCTTCGACGCTGAAGGCCAGCCTCTGGAGTTCGAGGCGTGGCTTGCCGACCTCCGGCGCCAACTCACTGGCCAGCGGCAGGATGGTGAACCGCTTTCCGCACACCTTGACGGTACGCTCCCCTGCCCAGACCCCCCTGCTGTTCTGCCCGCTGACTCCGCACCCACTGAGCGCGAGACTACTGCTGCCACTGCCCGTGCGCGCTCTGTCTGGCTTTCTCGAGATGCTGTCGCTCAGCTTGCCATTAGCAATGCCCTTCCCCCGTCCGAGCGCCCACGCTTTAGGTCCCTCACTACTGCCCAGGCTTACTTAGATGCTGTCATCAAGCGCTATTCCACCCCTCTGGCTGCCTCGGTGGGTCGCCTGATCCTCCCGATGCTCTTTCCTGACCTTGCGTCTTTCCCCACTGTCTCTGACCTCGCTGCCCACCTGCGCTCGATAGATGAGACCTGGCGCGCTGCCTGCACTGACGCACAGCTTAGAGCCCACCAGCCGCCCATCACCTCTACCCTTTACCTGCTTGCCACCCGCCTCCCTGACCGCCTTGCTGTCGCCCGCGACCGCTTCCTTAGCATTCACCCCGCAGACCTCACCCTCACTGACTTTGTAGACACCCTGACTGTGATTGAGACCCGCCACCGCTCCATCGCCCAGGCGAGCGGTACCGTGCCGGTCCCTATCTTTCAGGGTTGTGCCCCTCGCTCAGTGTACTTTCTCCGACGGCTCTGCCGCTGTGGCTGAGACTGCTGCTGCAGCGCAGTTTCGTTCGGGGAAGGGCCGCCGCCCCAAGGTTGGGCGCGGCGGAGGAGGCGGGGGTGCGGGAGGGGGTGGTGGTGGAGTCGGGTCGTCTGGTGCTGGAGCGGACGAGGGGACCCTCCCCAGTCCAGCTGAGCCGCCGCCCCTGCAGTCGCAGCAGCAGCCGGAGCCGCAGCAGCCGCCACAGTCGCAGCAGCCGCAGCCTTCGCAGCAGCTGCCGCAGACGCGGCAGACGAGTGTCCTCCCGCCCGGGTGGCCCGGCGCTGGCAGTGGTCGGGCGCGTGGTGGTGTGCCGAGTGGTGGTTCTGGAGGCGTGCGTTGTCAGTACCAGATCCAGACCGGTCCTCGCCGCGGCTTCGTTTGCGGTAAGATCGGTCACTCCACTCCCCGCTGTTTTCGTCGCCTGGACGACCTGTTTCGTCAGCGCTTTGGCCCGTCGCCAGACCTCCCGGACTGGCACAGTTTGCTTAGTCGTAAGATTCAGATTTTTGACATGGACATGGATGCCATTGTTTCTGCTCTGCATGTGATGTATGCTGATGACTATAGTGTGCTTCCCGCTTATTACTCACTGTCGGCTAGTGTAGGTGTGCCTAGCTTAGCCTCCCCTGCTGCGTCAGGCGTAGGATCCCCTGCTTTGTGTAGTCTTGGTGCTTCCGCCGTCGTTCCGTCGCCAGACGCCTCTGCTTCGCTTTCCTTCACCTTGGACTCTGGTGCTTCCCGGTGTTTTCTCGCGACTTCACCACACTGACGCCGCTTCCTGTTCCTGCTGCCGTTTCTCTTGCTGACCCCTCCGGCGGTCCGGTAGTCGCCCGCAGTTCCACCACCCTTCCCTGCCCGGCGGTTCCTTCGGGCACTCTCACAGGTCTGCATATCCCCTCGTTCTCCAGGAACCTAGTTCGTGTCGGCTGCCTCCAGGACCTTGGCGTCACCACTACGTTCCCTGGTCACGAGCGGTATGTTGTCTGTACCGAGGCCGCCACTGGTGCCCCCCTGTCCACGTTCCCCCGGGACCCCGTGTCCGGCCTGTTCACTCTGGACACCGTGACCCCCCCGGCTGGAGCGCTCCCTCAGGTGGCTGCGTCTACCCAGGTTGCTGCTGCCTGCTCCTGTCGGTCCCTCACTCACCCGACTCTCCTTTGGCACCACCGCCTAGGTCACCCTGCGCTCCCGCGTCTGCGTCACATGTCCCAGCACGGTCTTGTCCTTGGTCTCCCAGGTTCTCTCCCCGCGTTTCCCTCCTCCCCAGCCCCACCTTGCACGCCTTGTGTTGAGGGTCGGCTTCGCCGTGCCCCTCACTCCTCCTCGTTTCCCCCTACCGCCGCGCCGCTGCAGACCCTGCACCTGGACGTCTGGGGCCCCGCCCTTGTCCCTGGGCCGCGTCGCGAGCGCTACTTCCTTGTGCTTGTCGACGACTTTACTCGCTACACCACAGTCTTTCCCCTGGAGCGCAAGGCCGACGTGCCTGGCGCTCTCATCCCCTGGCTTGTCTCTGCGCGTGTCCACCGCGGTCTTCCTGTCTTGCGTCTTCACTCCGACCATGGTGGCGAGTTTGCCTCAGGTGTCCCTGGTCGCTTTTGTCGTGCGGAGGGCATCACCCAGACGTTCACCCTACCGGACTCCCCACAGCAGAATGGGGTCGCTGAGCGACGCATCAGTTTGGTCATGGAGGTGGCTCGCACCTCCATGATCCATGCCGGTGCACCCAATTTTCTGTGGCCGTTCGCTGTGCGCTACGCTTCTCACCAGCTTAACCTGTGGCCGCACCCTCAGCAGCCGCAGGTTTCGCCGACCCGTCTTTGGAATGGGTCTCCTGGTGATGCGTCTGCGTTCCACGTCTGGGGCTGCCTTGCTCACGTCCGTGCCTCCGGCACGGACAAGCTCACTGCCCGCACCCTTCCCTGCGTCTTCCTCGGCTTTTCCCTTGACGCGTCCGACTGGCACTTTTACCACCCGCCGTCTCACCGCTTCTTTCACTCTCGCGACGTCACCTTTGACGAGTCCGTCTCTTACTACCGTCACTTCCCCCACCGCGGTCCCCCGGTTACCCCCCCCCTGTTCCTGGTCACTCCTTCCCCGGTAGTCCCTGCCCCTCCCCCTCCTCCTCCCCGTCCTGCCCCCTCTGGTGTGTCCCACGTCACCCTCCTTCCGTCGGTGGACCCGGTTGAGGAGTCTTCTGACTCTGGTGGCCCTGCTGCGCAGTCCTCGCCGGCCGCCCCTCCCCCGGCGTCCCCTCCCCAGTCCCCTCCTCCACCGCCTCTGCCGCCGCTGCAGCCGTCGTTGTCGCTGCCGCCGCCGCCGTCGCAGCACCCGTTCGTTGACTCTGGGGGTGCTAGTCCCGATCGCCCTGGGGGTGGATCCTCTAAGGGTGCTGGTGTGGAGTGTGCCGGTGGTAGCCGCGGAGCCGCTTGCAGTCCCGGTGTTGCCGTTGTGTCGCCGCAGCAGCAGTCCCCGCCGGTGTCAACCCTTCGCCTGCTCGGCCTTCCGTCCCCTGACTCTGCGGCTGTTCCCCTCCGACCGTCTCCTCCTCTTCTCGTCTACGGCCCGGTGTTCCCTCCGCCGGACTCGTCCCCGGCCCGTCTTCCTCCTCGTTCCCCTCCTGTGTCCCCTCCCCTGTCTCCTGACCCG